CTTTTTGTTGTCCCCCTATACATGCAATGTTGTTTTTTAAAGATAGGGAGATCAAAACAGATCTTGTCCTGAAAGCCAACGCCAAGCTTTTTAGGACTCAGGAGAAGCAAGTTAGAAACAGAGCATCATGCTGATCCAGAGCACTGATCTGTGTGGTCGGGTACTGCTTCTGTAGGGCATGAGTTTGCACATCTTTGTGCGTAGACCTTCTGTCCATCCCCTATTTTGATTTTTGGCTTTTGGAATCAAAATAATAGATTCACTTCCTCATTTAAAAGTTGGTTAAGGCCTACAACAAAAAAAACATCCAAAACTTAGGGGAACCTAGTCTTTGGCACTCAGCTTTGTCATGATAAAAAGACAAAGGCTCTTGGGAGGCCGAGTTGGAAAGAGGCTGTGTGGACACTGATGTAAATGGTTCCATTTTACATTTTTTACTTGGTTTCAAGAATGACTAAACTATGTAGTCAAGAAAATATGTTTATTTTATAACTAATAAGGAAGCATGCAGACGTACTGGTCTTTGTTCTATTCAGAAACACGAATCCCAGTCTACTTATTTCTCACTTGTGCATCTCAGCATCAGGTTTTCTCCTGAACCAATCAGCCATCTGCCATTCTTTCTCTTCAGCATCCATCTTCTGGTCCTCTAAATTATGATTGATTTTTTTAAATATAGAGATTGAGAAGGGAAGGGTCTTCAGTTTTTCCTTTTGCTCACTACCTCAATGGATTAGGACGTCTTCTAATGTCAGCCTTAAGTGTCATACTGGATGTACAGGAAGGGTTATAATTTGGCTATCTCAAATGAGGGAAGCATGCCATTGGAAGCCAAACTTTCCAGTTCACTGGCAATAATGTACTCCTTGGCAGTCTTGAAGAAAGTTCTTGAGGGGAATCCTGGGTCTCTGCTCAGGGCTGACTTCCCAGAATGGTTCAACATCTGCAACAAGATGCTAACACAGCATTCTATCAAATGGTACTCCTTGCTTCTTCAGTAATGGATTTCTGGGTGTCTGCCTCCCTAGACTGCAATATTTTTGTGCCCATCTTCCCTGCAGTATCTGTTTCTTGCCTTCACAGAGGAACAGTCACAGAACTGGTATCAGCCTCAGTTTTCCTCATAGTTCTCGCTTCAGAGAGATTTTCACTTCTCTTTTGAATGCCAGTCAGCTTCTCATCCCTGTTAGCATCTGTGCCTTCTCCTTTGGTTTGGCCTCTCCTGTCAGGAACAATCACTTTTTGCTGTGCCCTAGTGGTAGGGGCTTTCTCTCTGCTGTTTCCATTGGTGGTTATAGCTGCTGCCACAGTAAGAGCTTAAGTCCAGCAGAGACACCCCCAGGTAAAAGGTAAAATAGGGGGTGTGGGGGGTGTTTCTGTCTTTCTGTCTGTCTGTGTCAGCTACTTCGATGGAATTCAGAATACCCATATGGAACATTTTACTGAAATGAACAATGGAAAATAAGAGGTATTTCTCTGCAATTTTAGCACTGTACTCAGAACTGGTTCTTTTGTTTTATTGGTCTGTAAAGCCCAAAATATCTTTTTCAGAACAAAATCCTGCATTCTTCCAAAAAAACTTTCATCCTATTCTGTCATAATTTAGCAGTCAGGGAGTGGGAAGTCCATGCCTTAAGTGCCAGGCAACAGCACAGACAGGGACAAGCCTCTCAGCTTTTCCTAGAAGTGCTGCAGCTCTGTGCACCAGAAGGTCCTGGGGAGGCTGAGCATCACAGGAGCATGACAGCATTATCTGTTTGTGGGTAAATTCACCTGATGGAAGGGAAGTGGGTGCTGCAGTCCCACCTCAAGTTTCTTTTAGGTTTTATGTAGCAAAAAGGTGTAATGCTGAGTGTAAAATACACCCTGCTGAGGCTGTAGCTGGCTGTTGGGGAGCTTTCCTGAGAATTGGGTCTATCCATACCCCCTTCTCAGGCAGAGAACTGAATCTGGCTGGCTTGCATCTTAGTAAGTGCATTAACCATTTATAAAGTTCACAGCTCAAAGTTTTTTTCTGGACTCTTTTTTTTTCCCCCAAACTAAACTACCCACAGATAAGGTATGCATAAGTCTGAATGAGAGTTATGTAGAGAATTTTAAAGTGAGGGGGTTTATGGTAGGCACAGGGCCAGCTGATGCAGTCCAGAACAGGGGACATCTGAGGAGTTCACAGTTTGGGATTTTGATGCCCACACAAACAATTGGAGACATTGCTAGGAAGTCCAAAATATAATTTTTTGAACTCTTCCATTCATAATTTAAGCAAGTCTAGGTTAAAAAAAATAATTATTGTGAGTTGATGATTATGATCATTTACGGAGTAATGGGAAGTACTGTGATAACCCTCTTGCATCTATCAGTATGTCAGAAGCCTTCATCAAATTAAGTCTTGCTGGAAACAGCAAAGATCCAAAGTTGTTTTAACATGAATTGTCCTGCTTTAGCAAACGAGTCAGTGGTTTAGTCTTCCTCAGTAATCAGCACTCCTGTGGCAAAAGAAGATTGTCTGATGAAAAGGAATGGGTTACAGAAGGGCCATTTACTCTTGCCTCCACTTGAGTAACTGGGGAAAGGTATATATAACTGAGGGTATCATGTTACAATGCATATTAATGTAGAAGAAGTTAAAATCATTAACCATTGCTCAAAAATTAAAGACTCAGATTAAAAGAGCTGTCAGTTTTAGCCTTTCTAGCAGTTTTACATTCTCAAATAAAAGCTAGAATGTCTGAAAGGATCAAAACAAGAATTTGTTTCTCAGGATGGACGTATGACTAGCTTCTCATTTGCAACCCTTTCTGCCTGCAGGTTAGCACTTTGATTTGAGCTTTGAATGCAATCCAAATCAATATGTCAATAGAACTCTTCACCTTCCTTCAGCTAATACTTATAACTAATGCCACTGTCAACTATGTCAGCCCAATTCTTGGAAAAGAATTTCTGGCTAGCTCCTTCTTCCTTTGTAAATTGGATGGCTGCCTACACATTCGTGTGGAGCCATAGCACAATATTTGCTATTGTTCTCTGACTTTGGTTTTATTTTTAATTTCTCAATCTCATAAATCAGCATTGTTTCCTCAGTTTACATTTTTCCTGTTCTATTAGTTTTAGTTCTATTAGTTCTATTAGTTTAGCATTTTAAATTGTTGACAAATTATATAGCCTCCATAAAGTGAAAAGCATGTTCCGGGTCTGACACAATCATAGTTTCATTGCTGCACTTTCCCATTGAAGTATAAAACCATTTACTTTATTTTGGACCTGTGAATGAGACTATGAACTCTGAGGGAACATGAGATGTAAAACTTGAGTTCAAGCTGAAAGAAATAAGTTTTATTCAGTGTGCTGTTGTTTGTTGCCAGCAGCAGAGAAAATAAATACCTGCAGATACCTGTATTTGCTTTGTGTTTTTGAGAATATAGCAGGTGTGTGTGTCTGAGCAGTCCCCTGGGAACACTTCAAACTTGTCATACAGGAACTAGTCGTAAGAAACACAGGGTGCTTTGGTTCTTTCTCCATCCCCATCACTGCTACAGCTCCCTGTACTCCGTAGTACACATAGTACACTGTGGTGATACTTTTGTAATCTGCATCAGACTTTTAAAATTACACCTGGAGATCCCATGTGAAGCATTTGCCAGAACAAACTAATTAGTTATCTGCAAGGAAACAAAGCACCCCAGTTTGCAGCATCAACCAGACACTGGAATACAAATTCTAATATTGACTGAAGCTGTTCCTTTAACATGTTACTCCAGTTACACCTATCTTATTGTATTTCTTTTACTCTAACTTGTTCCTCTTCATGCTACTCTGAAGGACATTAATGCTGCTAATAGTCTTGTACTTGTATAGGTTCAAGTTAATAAAGGTGTTGTGAGCTGCTTTACTGCTGACCATCATGGTTTAGCTTTTATAATACAGATTTTTCACTGTAATTAAATGGTGACAATGAATCAGCTTGTTGATTTCATCATAAGTTACTTCCCTGAAATCATACTTTAAGCAGCACACATCATTATCATCTACTCTTTTTCCTCTTAACAGTAGAGTTACAACATTTCAAGTACAACATTTCAAGTGTTGTACTCTGCATTTGCCCCAGTCTCTTATCCTGATAGATAACAGTGTCAAGCAGAAACCAAGAGCTATGAAGTAAAACAGTGATAGCCAGAAAGGTTGATTACACTGTATTAATTTATTATTAGACAAAATTGCAAAACTGGTGTTGGGACAGTGTAAGTATAGACTAAAGTGCCTGAGGTTAGCAATATCTTCTAACCCGTGCTCTGGAAATTTAGGAATGGTAAGGATGGCTGTAATAAGCCAGAGCAAAGATGAGCTTGGTTGAGCAGCCTAGGGAATTTCCATACTCATTTTTCTGGTTCAGCCCTTTGGAAAGGTCAGTGCAGACAGCCTGCTGGAATACAGCAACTGCTTGCTACTCATACAGCCACAGTGTTCCATTCAGACTGAGATTGCACGCTAGTCTTTCTTTGGTTTTTTAAGGTTTGAACCAGTGCTGAATGCCAAGTGTGGCAGGAATAATATGGCCCTTGCTCAGGGTCCTTACAGACCTTACAGCACGGGTCTCCTTGAGGTTGTACCTGTTTATAACACAGCAGGTTTGGCCAACAACAATGCTTGTTTAGCTTCATGGAGATGATACGTAATAACAAAGGATTTTTCTCCTTTTGCCTTAATCCCACAAGGACTTGTTTCTGAATTATTTCTACTCTTGGCATTTCTATTCTTGAAGAGCCTCATCAATGGGGGCTGTGAGGATCTGGCTGTAAGGCAGTACCATCTTGGGGCCCTATGTGGAATACAGCCGATTTTCCCATCTGGTAAAACACTTAACCATATGTCTACAGGTGGGAAGAGGAATCCTGCTGAAGTCCATAGTGCCACACAGGACGCAGCCAACGTCAAGCGGCTGCTCAGGGTGGGGCTTTAAGCCACGTTCATCCCCAGCAGCCGGGAGGTAGGGTCAGGTGTTAGTCCTGCAGCTCAGCTCGCTGCCTGCTCTGTGGCTGTGCTCCCACAGCTCCTGGGAGGAATGGATATGAACTTAGTCGCTGTTTTGGTTGTTCTAGCAGTCACGGTCAGTCAGACGTCTGAGAGTAAGTAAAATTGTATTTTATCTATTTCTATACTTTATTCTCTTAAAGAAAAAAAAAAAAGACCCCAAGTGTGTCTACCTGGAATTGTGTTTGCTTAAGCCTTTGCAGCTCTGTACAGGACCAGAGTGGATAGCTTAGAGGTCTCTGCTGTAGCATGGGAAGATTCAAAAAGTGAAACCTGGCTGTCTTAACTCCACAGAGCAATTGGCATTTTCAGTGGAGTCACCTGAGCATTTCCTCAGCAAACTCGGTGTTTCCACAACAGATGTGGGCACTTTATCATTCTGTGAAGTGGCTTAAGCAAGAAAAAAGCCAAGTGAATTATTTGTCGTAGGAGACATTATCAAGAAGATAGCTGAAAGATTTTAGCTGCTGAAGGAGAAGCAGTGATCTCCTGAGGGAGCACCTAGTAAAATTTCAGTATTTTTTCAAAAGGATCTCTCTGGTTCAGGTGTGAATGCCTCCTTTCCAAGCTTCTCAGAGAGAATATGTTTAGAGAACCACTTAATCTTTTTTCTTTAAAGTGAAATTGCCCTGGGTGGCAAAGGTTTCAAAAACCTTTTTATGACAAACTTCAAGTAACTGATTTCTCTCACCAGAAAAGCAGTTTTGCATGCAGCTTTGCTCTGCATTCAGTAAAGCATGTCTTGAGGATTCAGGAGATCTAATAACACTTCCATAAAAATTTTAAAAAATTCAAACAAGATTGGCCAGTGCTGTGCTTGAATTCTTCATTTTTCAATGTAATTTTTATTGTTAAAAAAACTGTGTTCACAGAGAAGATAACTCAGATTCTGGAGCACTTCATCCTTTGGTGTGAACCTTTCTCAAGCTCCACTGGCTTCAGTAGGAGTAGGAATAATGGATTTCCTTAAAAATTTACACAACACACGGACAAAATCTGCCTTAAAACTTTATCCTGTTAAAATGGCAACTGCACCTGCTGGCATGGGAAAGCTTTTGTACTAGATTTATGATCTAGCCAGTCAGCAAGGTCTTGCACAATAGGACTGGCACGTACATGCAGAGGTCAAAGTAAAGGTTCTCTTAGAACATTCTTTTATACTGAATCACCTAGCACAGGGGAAATGCCTTTACCACCTAACTTTCCTCACCCAAACACACTCCATACTTGGCAATGATACTCAAATGATAGAACTGGCTGTCAGGGTACAGGCACAGCCTACCATGAGCTGAACTAGATTTGGCTTTAACCCAGTGTAGCCTTAGGCTTCCTAGGCTCTCCATTATGCATCCATTTATTTCAGGGTGACAGTACAGATATACAAGTGAGATTTGGGCTGGTACATGTAAACTTGCAAAAGTTTACTTTGCTTGTGGATGTGAATTGGTAGCTGTTGACAGAGGCCAGGAAAGCCATATGTTGGCCAAAACCATACCTGGTCACAGGAAAGAATGTGGCCTGGCCAGGCAATGCCAGAAAATGAGATCAAGATTATTTTGAAGACTGTGATGGGGATTTCCCCTGCCACAACCTCCACTCCTCCACCCCCACTCCCCATTCGACAGAAGTTTTTGCAATTTTACTTTAAAAAATCCTGATAGCCTTCTATAATCACATCTTAGTGCCAGGGATTTACAGAGTGCCATACCTGCAGTGAGGGGAGCAGCACTGCATGACAGACTATCAGCAGGTTGGACAAGAGAACTTATTTTAAAGATGGTTGGTTCGGGAATTTCAATTTGAGAAGACAGAAATTCTCTTTCAGAAGCTCCTACATGTACTTCATCTTGAAGACATGAAGAGAGAAATTTGGTAATCCTTACACAGTAATAGCATCTAAATCAAGTGTTGGATGCATAGGAATAACAATTAAATAAGACTGACTGAGACTTTCCAGAAGAATTATCTGCAGTTATCCAACTCAAGTTATTCTAATAATGCTCGTCCGGTGAGACCTAGGGTGATCTGTGCAGTGTTGGATATGGGTTCTCTGTTATCAAAATGTGTTGCTTTATAGATAAAAACAGATCTATATTCACATGACAGCTTCTTTTTGCACTTAAGTGCAAGGCATTATGAGGTTTGGTTTTGCTAGGCGAGGCACTAGATATTACTGTTTGTTTGACCACATCAATATTACACTCTGTTTTGCCAATTTACAGCCTGCATTTCCTTGGTGCTTTGTAATATAACCATCAAGGATGCTGTATAGGGACAGAGAGCTTGGAAGCTGATCATTATTTGATGGACAAAGACCAATCTGACAATCCTGATGTGTATGAAATACTCATCTGTCTATCTCCAGTCATTCTTCCAGCCTTGAAAATGTCCCTATTAACAGCAGTCCTCATAGCAAAAAGCATCACTGCATAACTTCATTTGTATTTATTCTTTGCCACAGAATTATATAGTATGATTTATAGATTTATACATTATTAATTATATTTGATTTAGAGTTATAGGTTAGAAACTGTTCTATCCTTTTTCATCTCTCAGAATTGTGCTTTAACTGTGTGTATCACCATGCAGTCAAAGCAGTAGGATGCACTAGCGCATTTTTCAGCATTTGAGTTCCCCTCTCAAGTCCAGCTATTAAGCAACCTCCTTGTTTTAACAGACTACAGCTATGCTACATTTGTCAAGGATTCTAGCATCCCACTTTGTTCACCTGTCAACCAGGATCAGAGCCTTCTGCACAATGAAATAGTTACTGGCTTGCATTAGGTTAAGCTGAAAAGACCTACCTTGAGGTGCTGGACTCTTAAAATAGCCTCAAGTTTGTTTCAAATGAAAGGAACATTTTCTGGCAGCTTCATGAACAAATGAGTACTAAATGAGCTGCCTTACAGTAATTTAAAGTGTACGTGATGTGATAGTAGATTTCCCTCCAAGGGCAGAGCCTGAATTCTATGTTCATAAGCCAACAACATGGGATTTAGGGCTGCAACTTGTCTGTGGCTATATTGATACTGGAGCATATCAACACTTTCCATGTTCTGGCTAAACAAGATATTAATCAAATTAATCAATGCAAATTGTTTTGTTTTGCTTTGTTCTTCCAGATGTACAAAGCCTACTTTGTAATCACAAAAGAATTCCATTGGGAAACACTAATGCTTGCAGCTAATAGCACAGGTGTGCCAAAGTTGTGCAATGGGTGCAGAGCTGCATCAGTTCAGCGTGAACTTGAGGTACATTAGTGGCAGGTCTCACATTTCAGCATAGAAACAGCAAATGCCTCAGATTTATGCTTTGGGGGAACCCGTCCTGCTCAGTAACATTATGTATATTTGCTGGGCTCCCTTAGTTTGTGTAAGTTCCAGAACTATTATTCTCGGTTTTTGGTCACATAAAAGAAAAACTACAGCATGGCCTTTCACTCAGCAGTCCGTGGGTCACAACCAGTGCAAAAAGGTTAATGAGGAGCTCTGCCAGCAGTACTGACAGTCTCCTCTGTGCTGCCGGCAGAATTCAGGAGGGAACACCAAAGGCCTGGTCAAAACACTAACTGCTAGAGTGAAACTTGTGAAGAAAAGAACTGTACAAGTCCTGCCTAAAGCAGCAATAATTGCTTTTAATATTTCTTGCCTGAACCCTACATGATGCAGCCTTCCTCAGCTGATTAACATGTGGCTCTCAAGTTTGAGAATGACAACGAAAAAAGTGAAGCAGAGGGATGAGAAAAGTTTCTGTGGACTAAGTTTGGCCAGGTAGCAAATAGGAAATGGAAAAAGAAACTTCAGGCAGTCAAAGAGACTTGATATTGATCAACTCAAGTGTAAAGACACATTATATATGAATAGTACTGACAGAGGTCTCGTACCATCAGATGCTTTGTTTTCACTGTGCTTCATTCCGAAGTACTCCACTTCCATCATAGAATGGTTTGGGTTGGAAGGGACCTTAAAAATCATCTAGATCCCTGCTGCCCTGGGCAGGGACACCTTCCACTGACCAGGTTGCCCAGGGCCCCATACAGCCTGGCCCTGAACACTTCCAGAGATGGGACATCCACAACTTCTCTGGGCAACTTGTGCCATTGTCTCACCACCCTCACAGTAAAGAATTTCTTCCTAACATCTAATTCCCAACATCTAATTCCTAACATCTAATGTAAACCCACCATTCTGCCTTAGGTACTGGAAGACTGCAATTAGGTGTCCCTGGAGCATTCTCTTCTCCAGGCTGAACAACCCCAACTCTTTCAGCCTTTCCTTATAGGAGAAGTGCTCCAGCCCTTTGATCATCTTCGTGGCCTCCTCTGGACTCGGTGCAGCAGGTCCATGTCCTGAAGGCCCCAGAGCCCCATCACATCAGTTCAAACTCACTGACTCACACTCTTCTACATTTAGGAGCAACATTTTAATAGAACAGCTGTCTAAGTCTAGAGAGACTAGACTGTTTGCTAAAGAGGGTGAGTTGTGAGGTAGACCAAACTCCTCTCTCTCTGCAATTGTAATGTCAAATTAAGGGGCTTTACTCGAGGAAAATGTGGAAAAAACAGAAGAAATAACAACCCTTTATTAAGAAATATATGAATGTTGGTAAAAAAAAAAAAAAGAAGAAAAAAACAGTAACACCAAACAAAACAACACCAGCAACAACAACTACAACAACAAGTCTAAAAGAATACTCCTCTGTCCTTTAGCACAGTCCCAATTACGGTCTGCAGGGGGCGCTGTTGGGCCGCTGGAGCTGTAGGACCTGCAGTACTGGTCACGGTCGGCAGGGGGCGCTGTTGGGCCGCTGGAGCTGTAGGACCTGCAGTACCTGGTCACGGTCGGCAGGGGGCGCTGTTGGGCCGCTGGAGCTGTAGGACCTGCAGTACCTGGTCACGGTCGGCAGGGGGCGCTGTAGGACTGATGGAGCTGTAGGACCTGCAGTACCCGGTCACGGTCGGCAGGGGGCGCTGTGGGCTCCGTCAGTCACCCGCGGGAAGAGGGGACCGGAGAGAGCGGTCCCGGACCACGAGGGGAAAACCGAGAAGGAGATGAGGGGGGTCCTCGCCTCCGTGGGGGCGACAAGGAAAGCAGGC